GGATCCTTTGGGGTCTTGGGGGGGAGAGGGGGGTGGGTGCGGGCAGAAAGCCTTATAAAGCGCCTAAAAGGGAAACCTCGCCTCAGTTCTTGGGTGTGTGTTACTCTGTTGAGTGTTACAGCGTGGCTTTAGTTGAAAGCCCTACACCCCACGCGCCTCGACGCCCTAAACCCTAAACCCTAAACCCTAAACCCCAAACCCTAAACCCTAAACCCTAAACCCTAAACTTTCTGAAAACATCCCTCAGGCATTGGGCAGCAAGCCGCGGGCAGGCCCGATCTGCGCATGGTTTTTTTGGGGAATTTGCGCCTGGGCTTCGGAACCAGAAAAGCAGGCCTTTCCTCCCAATTCGCAGGTTAGGGTTTAGGGTTCAGGGTTTTAGGGTGTAAAAGATTTAGGGTTTAGGGTTTAGGGTTAGGGTATAAGTGTAGGTAGAGGGCCAGGGAGGATTTTGGATTCAGAGTTGTTGCGTCGCGGTCTTCAGGGTTAAGGCTCCGAACAGGGCTTCAAGTCATAAGCAGAAGAAGAATCATAATCATAAGAATGCTAATAATAATAACAACAACGGCAAAAACAATAAGAATAAGAGGCACAATAGTCATCATGTGGGGAAGGGTGGGGTTCTGAGTATGTCAGAGCTGGAGACAAAGTGAACATTCAGCAGACGTCTCACAGCTGACCGTTTTTCGCCTGTTGCACAGACGCTGCCCTAGGTGGATCAGGAGCGGAGAGCGAGAGAGAGCGAGAGAGAGAGAGAGAGACAGTCAGACAGGACCACGGGCTTTGTTGCGCCTTTCGGGGCAACCCTCCCTCGGGAGGGTTAAGCGTGTGGAGAGGGAGAGAGAGAGAGAGAGAGAGAGAGAGAGAGAGACAGAGACAGAGACAGAGGGCGAGATCTGCAAAAAGGGAAGAAGGAAGAAGGCTGAGAAGCGGCCGCACAGTACCATTGAGTCGGGGGTCGCCCCAGCTCAGAGTTTTTTGAGAACTCGGGGGATGATGGTTCGAGGGTTTAAGGTTTCGGGTTTAGGGTTCAGGGTATAGGGTTTAGGGTTTTGGGTTTTGGGTATAGGGTTTAGGGTGAGCTTCCTCCTAAACCCTACTGCTTGTAGGATCGGAGGACTTAGCAGGTAGGTGCGAAGGCGAGTTTTAGGTACCCTGAAAAGGACCCTAATTTGGGTTATCCTACTTCATATCCCCATCCTACTTCGTAAGTCCCCGATCGCCCAAGTAGACCCCGATCCCTAACAGCTCGAAGACCAGCCTTCGAACTTGTAGCTGGTAGTATTGCTAAGGAGTTCGATGCTGAAAAGCCAGACTAAGAATGGGTTTAGGGTTTAGGGTTTAGGGTTTAGGGTTTAGGGTTTAGGGTTGAGGGTTTAGGGTTTAGGGTTTAGGGCTGTGGCACGAGTCCATGGGGCTTGTTTGGACACGGCTTGACAGGCGGGTGCTTGCCATGCTCTGCGGTGCACTGAGATGGGAGTCGGTGTTGTAAACCCTAAGCCCTAAACCCTAAACCCTGAACCCTAAACCCTAAACCCTAAACCCCAACGGCAGTCGTGGTTTGTCCGCTTGGCGGGTTGGCAAAGAAAAAGCGGTCATGGAGTTGTACTGGGCCCGGCGTGGCACGCAGAGGATTCTGGCGAGCGAGAGCTGTGGACCCCGATGTTGTTAGTCGTTAGTGCGCTTGTTTTCTTCTTTAAACTAGAAGATGATTATGTAGCACAAGATCATATGCAATATAATAAAATAGATCATAATAAAGGGTCACTGTATAATCATGTCATAGTTTAAGAATAGAATATGCAATACAATAAGATCTGCAGTCAAATGCGAGGGTCTGGGGGGTGTTGAGCCGAGGCTGGAGCATCCACGTTTCATCGACATCGGGGCCCTGGACAGCTGCGGGCGAACGGTGCGAACTTCAGCTACTTGAAGGTTCATTCGGGTAGCTATAAGTAGGGTTTTGGGTTATAGGTCAGAATGCCAAAAGACATAAAACACCCAACTCCAAATCTCAAACCTTGAAAAGGGAAAGACGGGCGACTCGTGCTGTTTTTCCTTGACAGATTCCCTCCCTTCACATGACTGGGTTGTGTGCGGGCCGAAGCCCTAAACCCGAATACACACTCAAAACAAAAAATCCGCAGCTCGTCTTTGAGGGGTGCTTCTACGCTGGCCTTTAACGAGAGTATTGTCAGGTTGTGTCGGGTCAATGGCATCCAGGCGTTCTACTGCTCTGATTGCCGCACCTTCAAGTTTGAGTGGGGCAACAGGTTAGTTGTACACCCTAAACCCTAAACCCTGATTCCTAAACCTTCGGGATCTGCCTGGCACAGCTAGCTTCCACAGCTCGTCTGCAAGGAGCTCTTCGCAAGAATCTGGAAAACTCGTAGCCGTACAATGAAGGTCCTCGGGCTGGTTGACGGTTTCGTCTATGGGCCCACATCACTATGTAAACCATGGAAATGCAAGCTGCGTTCGGCCCCGCACATGCACCCCAGCCTAATGCGCAATACCCCAAACCCTAAACCCGAAACCTTGAAGCCCACAACTCTCTCAATCGGGAAGCCGCAGACTCAACCACGCCGGAGGCCCTCCACATTGCTGCGCAGAGCGGCCATGCCCACGTCTGCGAAGTGCCGCCCTGTGCCGAAACCCTCAACCCCGGCCCTTAGTAGTAGAGTATGCAGCCTTTAACCTTCTTGGGGTAATTTAATACCCTTATAATCCCAAAGGTTAACCTTTAGTTCCCCCAGGTACTGGACAACTACGTACCTTATAATGATCATTACTGATCCCATCATCACGGTCAGAAGAAGACATCGTACCGGTGCGCTACCCTTCCCTCAGGGGGTCGTCCTGGGCCGGGGAACGGGGGAAGGCATGTGTTGAGGGTGCCCACGAAGGTGTGCAGCATGCCAAGATTCAGGGTTGGGGCACATGGTTGCTGCATAAGTTTTGGCTCGGCATTTGTTGCGACAGGGTTCGTTTTGGTTGTTTAACGGGCAAGTTGCCTCTGAAGTGCCTGCCTATACAGGAAGCCAGGGTCCACAAGCTTGAGCAGATCTTCAGAACCGTTCAGATACCCCCTGAGGCGTGTTTGGATGGAGCACTCAACAATAACAGCCTTTCTGAAACTCTGTACTGCAGGACTTAGGAGGGAAGTGTTCCGGTTTTAGGCCTAAGTCAGCATAGGCGGGCTTTGCACCTCTAGCCTTTGAGCTTTAGGGTTTGCAGATGTGAAATGGGTTTGTGGTTGTGAAATGTCCACAAGGTCCAGGGTTTTGGGTTGATGCGGGATTTGTGGTTTCTGCCCAAACCAGAAGAGCCAAAACACTAAATTCCAACTCCTGCACGAGAAGCCCGCCAAGCTCACCTCCCGACGCGGCCCGAGCTTTAAAACCTTACTTAGCCAAAGGTTGAACTTTAAACTTTTTGGGTGTCCATACTAGTAGGATTAGTGAAACTTACCCATTTGTATTCCTTGGTTATTGGAGAAGCAAGAGACCCTAAAGCCGTGTATTGCTCCTGGGACCCAGAAGTTGAAGCTTATGCCAGGGTTAGGTGCCCTTCTAAACTGCTTTAAACACAAAATTGTACCCTTGTACTATTCCCAGGCTTAGGTCCCAAACCCCTACACAGCCCGACACTCCCTCCCTGAACCCCGAATTGTTTTGAACCTCCTAAGTATTTAAAAAAATAGAAAGAGAAATAAACAACCGAAAAATACCATCCGTCCTGCAGAGGCTGCTAGGCCCATACCCTCCTTGAGCCATGCGACCTCTGCCTTCTGGGTTTAGGGCTTAGGGCTTAGGGCCTAGGGCCTAGGGCTTAGGGCTTAGGGGGAGTTCGATGCCGAAAAGCCAGATCAAGTAAGGGTTTAGGGTTTAGGGCTTAGGGCTCAGGGCTTAGGGCTTAGGGCTTAGGGCTTAGGGTGAGGGTTTAGGGTTTAGGGTTTCGGGTTGAGGGTTTAGGGGTTTAGGGTTTAGGGTTTAGACCCTAAGCCTCATATGAACTTCATGAACCTCAACCCCCCTGAGCTGCCACCCCCGTGCCGGACGCCATGATGTGTGATGGGACCGGCTATCCCACCGCCAGGACCGTTAAGGTGTAGGGCTTATATGAAACAGGGTTTATTTTACCGTTATTGGTGAGTGTATATGCCGGGTGTCCTTTTGGGGGTACAAGAAATATATACCCTGCTTCATATGGGTTGGTGGTCTCTTTATGTAGTAGGGCTTCTGTTCTCTAGGGGCATCTATTCGGGGCTCTTTTTCGGGTATCTAGGGGTTATATTAAGGTATAAAGGTTACAGATAAAGAGGCCACCGGCCTTTAGAATGTAGGGCCTAGGGGTTTTTTGTTTTTCATCAGAGCCCGGAGGCAAAAAAATGAGTTAAAGATGCTAAGAATGGGCGCGATTTCTTGAAAATCTGGAGGTTTGGGGCTTGGGCCGGCATATTCTAAGCCCTAAACCCTAAACCCTAAAACCTAAAACCTAAACAACAATCCCATGACAAAAGGTCCAGGCTGGATAGTGGGCTACCCCCATTCTGCCCACTTGCTTGGGAGCAATCTTTCGTTATATATGGGGGGGGGGGGGGGCTTCCCTAAATTCGGGGTACCTTCTTGGGGTTCTTGTTATAAGGAAATCCTACGATTTAGGGATCTATTGGGGGTCCCCTATTCTCGTAAACCCCCATAGGGCCGAAGCGTGAGATCTGGGGGTCACTTTAAGTCATATATGCCTGTTCACTGTACGTAGATGACTTGTGCAAATTCGAACTCCCGGTGAAAATAAAGTGACTGTCCCCCAGCCCCCCCCCCCCCTAATGTGGAACACAACCCCTCTCAAAAAACAAACGTCGCCCTTCAACCCTAAGCCCCAAAACCCAACCCCCTAAGAGACGTCGCCCTTCAACCCGAAGCCCCACAACCCAACCCCTAAGAGACGGCTGACATCAAAGTAGCCCTAAGCCATGTGCAGGACGCTCTGTGTAGATGCGCCCTCGTGGACGTGCCATGCCGTGCCCAGCGCTGCCCCCAGCTGCTGACAAGGGTTTAGAGCTTAGAGTTTAGGGTTTAGGGTTTAGGGTTTACAAGTGGGAGCGAAAGCCTGACACCCACCTCCATCTTGAATCTGGCTAGTCCTCAAGCCCAGTTGCAGGGTTTAGGGTTTGGGGTCACGTGTTCGGGTGAGTACACCTGAACCTCCACCAGACGGGTTTAGGGTTAGTTACCTCAAGGAGTTTACCACCACAATAGGGAGCTGTGGGCCCCAAAAATAGTAGTTTACCGGCTGATAGAAATCTACATACCTAGGACCTAAGCCCTAAATCCTAAACTTAAACCCTAAACCACCCCAAGCCCAATAGGGCTGGGCCTAGCGACAGTGAGGTCGCTTGCATTTCTAGTTCAGGCTTTCTTGAAGGTTCATGGGTAGCTTACATGGCTGTAAGTAGGGTTATAAGTACCTTAATTCAGGTTATGATAAAGCTTACCTTACCTATAGCTACCCGTGAGCATGCAAGTGGGGTTCCATCTGTCACTTAAGTCTTAAATTAAAATCTTGCAAGTTCAGTTCCTTGTAAAGCCTAAGAGGGTTTATGGCCATGCACCTTACAAAAGGGTAGCTAGCATAGCGTATATGATTCCAATGTCGGGGTTCATTTGGTCCCCATGGTTTTAGTTCTCAGGAGTGGGGTCAGGTGAGGGGATAAAGCCTGTTCTCTTCGCTACGTACAGCAACGGCTATTGAGCCCTTTGTAACAGCAGAACGCGCTTCCCTTATTGGGTATATCTACTTGTTTTCAAGCACAGAGACCCTACGTTTTCCGTAGACCCCTATGCCCTCAAATCTTGAGACCCTTAAAGTCAACTCGGAAACCTCAGTAAATCCTAATCCTACTTTTAACCCAGCGTGGGGTTCAGACGTTTTGCAGCATTTCTAGGGCGCTCACCAGCTGTGTAAGGCCTGCCATGGATGCTGTCAATTTTTCGGCCCCTTCGAAAAATGGGTTCCCCAGTAGCTTTTGCATCGCTGGATGAGGCGGAACCTCTAGGCAGCCGTACCACTTCTCCGATTTGCACGTGGAATGAATCCTCACGCATTTTCAAAAAAAGTGACAAACCCAAATTTCGCTCCTACAAACTCAACCTCCAAGCAATACGGTGACCGCGGTGCTTGGAGTGCAAACCCTAAACCCTAAACCCTAAACCGTAAACCCTAAACCCTAAACAGTGTTGGGGAGAAATGGTGTATTGGTCTCCGTTTCCATGCGCGGTGCTGCAGTGTGGTGAGTCTGCTTGGCGAGTGGCACAAAGCCCTGAACCCTCTCAAACTCCAAACCCTAACTAAGCCTAGACCCTAAACCCTAAAAACCATAAGCCCACAGCTCGTGCAGGAGTCGAACAAGAAGCACCGGCGTGCTCTGAAGTGGGATCCTTACGTGATGCTTGCTGTCTAAGGGTTGAGGGCTTAGGGCTATCTATCAGAGGAGCAGACGGCTCATAAAGTTCAAACAACAGATATTAGGTTTGATGATTCAAAACTGTGGTGTAGGTTGGTGGAGAAGAAAGCTTACAAGGAGGGGCCCTCTTACTAACTAGCTCTAGTTAAGGGACTTATAACCTAATTTCGCTCATTGCATCCGGCTTCTTCTTCGCCCCGGTTTCGCTATGTTTCGCTTCGAGCACAGCACATTTGCCCAGCCCCAATATGACTTGCGGCCTAAAACAGATAGCTGGGACCCTAAATCTACCCGACATAGTGCCATGCAGCCCTACAATGAAGGGCATGCATCTGTATAGGTATATATCATTTAGGCAACGGAACGGAGGATAGACCTTTAGGGGCTTACCATGAGGTTCATGGGTAGCTATACGTAGGGTTGTAGAACTCCTATTTGAGGTTATCGCACAGGTTACTTTACTTCGTATACAACCCTACTTGTAACTACCCAATACCCATGAACCCTCAAGTAGGGTTTTGGGGTACGTTGTGAAGAGAAGATGACCTTGTACGGAGCACAACCCTGGACCCTCGAATAAGGGTTTAGGGTTTAGGGTGCAGGAGTGAGGATCCAGATGCACACATGGGTTGGGTTCAAAAGGGTTTTCGATTTTCGAGGTTTTCGATTTTCGGGGTTTAGGGTTTAGGGTGTAGGGTGTAGGGTTTAGGGTTTAGGGTTTTTCGGCAAAACAAACAGCACAAGTCCCACACCTCGTCACACCTCCAACACCGCTACACCACTGGAAGCGGCAAAGACGGGTGCACGGGCGGTGGAGTCTTGGTTGAGGGTTTGGGAATCTGAGGGGAAATCTCTCAACCATAACTGCTACTTTTTATACCAGAACTCCCATACTTGATTAGTATATAAAGTATATATGTGTGTGAAAATGTACATATGTATATATTTATCTATATATATATATATTTACTATGTTGTTTTGTTTTTTTTTTTTTTGGGGGGGGGGGGGGGGGGGGGGGGTGGAGCACACCAAGACTGTTGAGCGAAGAATCGTCGGGCTGCTTGGGAATGGCTTGGCGTGCTTCGGTTTCAGGGCTGTGGGCAACAATCTGTTTTTAAATGAATAAGTCACATATATATATATATGTGTATGTAAGGTAGACCTTTATGCTCTATTTGACGGGTGCCCTGTGCTATTTAAAAAGATAAAACTGATTAAAGTGCGGGCCTTGAAGGCGCAGTTTAAACAGTTTGAATAGTTTAAATATTTAAAGTGTTTCAACTGTTTAAACTGCAAAAGGAAGGCGCAGTTTAAACAGTTTAAATATTTTTAATATTTAAAGTGTTTAAACTGTTTAAACTGCGAATAGAAGGCGCAGTTTAAACAGTTTAAACTTTTTAAATATTTAAAGTGTTTAAAGTGTTTAAACTGTTTAAACTGTTTAAACTGCAAATCGTTTCAAAAAGCCGAGTTTTAAGCTTTACATTTTTTCAATTCTGTAGTGCTTTTTCTGGACGATTTGCAGTTTAAACACTTTAAACAGTTTAAACTTTTTAATCTTTTTAAATATTTAAAGTGTTTAAACTGTTTAAACTGCGAATAGAAGGCGCAGTTTAAACAGTTTAAACTTTTTAAATATTTAAAGTGTTTAAAGTGTTTAAACTGCGAATAGAAGGCGCAGTTTAAACAGTTTAAACTTTTAAAATATTTAAAGTGTTTAAAGTGTTTAAACTGTTTAAACTGTTTAAACTGCAAATCGTTTCAAAAAGCCGAGTTTCAAGCTTTACATCTTTTCAATTCTGTAGTGCTTTTTCTGGACGATTTGCAGTTTAAACACTTTAAACAGTTTAAACTTTTTAATCTTTTTAAATATTTAAAGTGTTTAAACTGTTTAAACTGCGAATAGAAGGCGCAGTTTAAACAGTTTAAACTTTTTAAATATTTAAAGTGTTTAAAGTGTTTAAACTGCGAATAGAAGGCGCAGTTTAAACAGTTTAAACTTTTTAAATATTTAAAGTGTTTAAAGTGTTTAAACTGTTTAAACTGTTTAAACTGCAAATCGTTTCAAAAAGCCGAGTTTTAAGCTTTACATCTTTTCAATTCTGTAGTGCTTTTTCTGGACGATTTGCAGTTTAAACACTTTAAACAGTTTAAACTTTTTAATCTTTTTAAATATTTAAAGTGTTTAAACTGTTTAAACTGCCAATAGAAGGCGCAGTTTAAACAGTTTAAACTTCTTAAATATTTAAAGTGTTTAAACTGTTTAAACTGCGAATAGAAGGCGCAGTTTAAACAGTTTAAACTTTTAAAATATTTAAAGTGTTTAAAGTGTTTAAACTGTTTAAACTGTTTAAACTGCAAATCGTTTCAAAAAGCCGAGTTTTAAGCTTTACATCTTTTCAATTCTGTAGTGCTTTTTCTGGACGATTTGCAGTTTAAACACTTTAAACAGTTTAAACTTTTTAATCTTTTTAAATATTTAAAGTGTTTAAACTGTTTAAACTGCGAATAGAAGGCGCAGTTTAAACAGTTTAAACTTTTTAAATATTAAAAGTGTTTAAAGTGTTTAAACTGCGAATAGAAGGCGCAGTTTAAACAGTTTAAACTTTTTAAATATTTAAAGTGTTTAAAGTGTTTAAACTGCGAATAGAAGGCGCAGTTTAAACAGTTTAAACTTTTTAAATATTTAAAGTGTTTAAAGTGTTTAAACTGTTTAAACTGTTTAAACTGCAAATCGTTTCAAAAAGCCGAGTTTTAAGCTTTCCATTTTTTTGAATTCTGTAGTGCTTTTTCTGGACGATTTGCAGTTTAAACACTTTAAACAGTTTAAACTTTTTAATCTTTTTAAATATTTAAAGTGTTTAAACTGTTTAAACTGCCAATAGAAGGCGCAGTTTAAACAGTTTAAACTTTTTAAATATTTAAAGTGTTTAAACTGTTTAAACTGCGAATAGAAGGCGCAGTTTAAACAGTTTAAACTTTTTAAATATTTAAAGTGTTTAAAGTGTTTAAACTGCAAAAGGAAGGCGCAGTTTCAACAGTTTAAACAGTTAAAAAGTGTTTAAATTGCGAATAGTATTCATTTGTTAATTGAAAGGCGGCCACGAACCACACTCACCAGAAAAGGTGAGCCAGCCGCCCTGAGGCGAGCTGGCCGCCCTTAGGCGTGCTAGGCGCGCCGGCCGCCCTCAGGCGAGCCGGCCGCCCTTAGGCGCGCTAGGCGCACCAGCCGCCCTCAGGCGAGCCGGCCGCCCTTAGGCGCGCTAGGCGCACCGGCCGCCCTCAGGCGAGCCGGCCGCCCTAGGCGCGCTAGGCGCACCGGCCGCCCTCAGGCGAGCCGGCCGCTCTTAGGCGAGCCGGCCGCCCTTAGGCGAGCCGGCCGCCCTCCTGGGACGCAATCTTTTCGGTGTAAAATTGGGTCTCCGCCCAGGTTAAACTCTCGCAATTTTTTTTTCGTGCCCCCGCCGCTTTCAGGCGAGCCGTTATGCTCAAAACCGTTAAAGTTATTTGTATGTGCAGTTCCGGGTCCGGTATGTGCTGGACCGTGGTTTGCATGCCTGTCCGGGTTCGGCGAAAGCTCCGGACCGTGGTTTATACACATATACATACCCATATCCCTTGTCTACCATTCTATGTATGTGCAGTTCCGGGTCCGGTATGTGCTGGACCGTGGTGTGCATGCTTTTCCGGGTTCGGCGAAAGGTCCGGACCGTGGTTTACACACATATACATACCCATATCCCTTGTCTACCGTTATATGTGTGTGCAGTTCCGGGTCCGGTGTGTTCTGGACCGTGGTGTGCATGCCCTTCCGGGTTCGGCGAAAGCTTCGGACCGTGGTTTATACACATATACATACGCGTATCGCTTGTCCACCATTCATTATATGTATGTGCAGTTCCGGGTCCGGTATATATGCTGGACCGTGGCGGGCAAGCCCTGCCGGGTTCGGCGAAAGCTCCGGACCGTGGTTTATACACATATACATACGTGTATCCTTTGTGTACCGGGTCCGCTGTATGCTGGACCGTGGCGTGCGTAGACTTCCGGGTTCGGTGAAAGCTCCGGACCGTGGTATTATACATATACTTATACCTATGTCTGTGCACATCTATCAATACGATGGTATTATACACTTTCTGGGGAGTATTCTAACTCCAGGATCGGCGCTACACAGACATGTACGCCTGGCCTTCTCAGGACACTGTGGCCTTCAAAATTCATTACAGAACCTGCAGATAGTGACAGATGGGGGCTATTTGCTTACTGCCAAGAAGAACTTATGCTGAGAACCGTTATATGTATGTGCAGTTCCGGGTCCGGTATGTGCTGGACCGTGGTGCGCATGCCCTTCCAGGTTCGGCGAAAACTCCGGACCGTGGTTTATACACATATACATACCCATATCCCTTGTCTACCGTTATATGTGTGTGCAGTTCCGGGTCCGGTATGTGCTGGACCGTGGTATGCATGCACTTCCGGGTTCAGCGACAGCTCCGGACCGTGGTTTATACACATATACCTACCCATATCCCTTGTCTACCGTTATATGTGTGTGCAGTTCCGGGTCCGGTGTGTTCTGGACCGTGGTGTGCATGCCCTTCCGGGTTCGGCGAAAGCTTCGGACCGTGGTTTATACACATATACATACGCGTATCGCTTGTCCACCATTCATTATATGTATGTGCAGTTCCGGGTCCGGTATATATGCTGGACCGTGGTGTGCAAGCCCTGCCGGGTTCGGCGAAAGCTCCGGACCGTGGTTTATACACATATACATACGTGTATCCTTTGTGTACCGGGTCCGCTGTATGCTGGACCGTGGCGTGCGTAGACTTCCGGGTTCGGTGAAAGCTCCGGACCGTGGTATTATACATATACTTATACCTATGTCTGTGCACATCTATCAATACGATGGTATTATACACTTTCTGGGGAGTATTCTAACTCCAAGATCGGCGCTAC